GAACAGACTCAGGCGTTGAAGTAGCGACGTCTGAGCCCAGGACAGCGAAAGAATTCGATACAAGAGTAACCACAGAGAAGGCTGCTGAAGATGGGACCCCAGAAGTGGGAAGTTTTGAAATGCGGGAATAAGAAACACTAGGTACTCTCCCTTGGAGGCAGAGATGAGAAACTGCCATGGCATAAAGGAGACCTTCTGCCTCTGAGGCAACTGATTTCCCATTCAAGTAGACTTAGCAACGGTGAGAGTACGAAGGGTGAGCCTCATGACAATTAAGGCAAGAGGGAGGTCGATTGCAAGACATTAGAATGGTCATCGGCACCACAGACTGGGCATTCTGCTATAGATCTGCAATATTTCGCTGGATGGCCAAATCGCCAGCAATTTCTACACTGTTGCGGTGTAGGGATCACTTTTCGAACTTGTAACCGATGTCCTGCTACAAAACTGAGGATGGGAGTTCACGGCTGTCAAAAGTTAAACGAGCCACATTGCTAGGGTATCGTCTGCCCGTGGGCAGGAAGAACATGAGTGTCTACCTTGAGGATTTGGAGATCTTTGAGTTCCAGCTGTTCAAGAATGTCATTGCCACGTGTCTGGAAATTTTGTTGAACTATGGTATAGGGCAGAATGACTACCCCTACAAGAATTGAGGGAATGTTTTTCAATAGTGACAGGAACAGTATCGATATGGGAGAGATATTAGCTTGGGTAGCATTCTGTACAGTGATGCGCATACCGCTCTTAAGAGCATGAAAAGAAATATTTACCAACATGGCGTAGGAGTGCCTTGCCAATACTTTGGTTGGATGTAGACAATAGAGAAGTCGGTCGTAAAGTGAAGAATTTAGTCCATTGTGCATTCTGAAACAGCATGGAAATGGAGTGCAGGACGTGTCCATCTTTTCTAAGAACGAGGTGGAGAAGCATCATCAGCAGGTAATTGTCGTTGGTGTTTAGGAGTGGGAACAGAGTTGGTCCGACGTGAAATGGGCCGGCGATTTGAAAATTGCCGCACCGTAGAGGGAGAGGCTGTGAACACTAACTCCAAGGCCGAAGGACTGATTACCTCATCTTTTGTATATAGGTCTACTGTCTCCTATTATGTCCTGAATCAGTATTGTAAAGACCAGGATGGGAAACAGTCTACAATAAAAAAGGCCAGATGTTGACATTTGTACTAGACTTCACCAGGTCAGATAATCGTGTCAGTCGAGAACTCGGTACTGAAGTAGGCGAGAGACCGCACCGACAAGAGGTACAGAGGCATTAGGAGTGTCCGAAGAGTGGTTCAAAGACGAGATGGGGTCAGAACAGGGTGCTATATCAAGAAGGGCCCAGGGGTAGCAGGTCATGGGATGGCTATCCATGGTTAGGTTACTTTTTTGAATTAAGGAACTGAAAAAACGGGCAACGGGGAAGGATATGTACCTGACCGGAATGACGGCCAGAAATCCCGTCCCAAGAGGACCTCAGCACAGCCATCCGTGGCAGATGCAGCATTGAACCCGTGCCATACCCTACCTATAATGCCAGTAAACCAGCAATCGGGGATAGCAACCTCACATCTGCCGAGCTACCTCGGTGAACAAGAGGGCGGCGGGATATCCGCCACAAAGCATACCTCCTTTGGCCACCACCCCCGGAATCCGAAAGGCAGCCTCCAGAGATACACCCGTCGCCTGAAAGATACACAAAGCCACTCCCCGGGAGACTGGAGAGGGATTATGACATCCCCAGGCATTTCAGATTCCACAGCAAACTACCCCACTGCCAAGAACCTCAACAGAATGGGATGGATCCCTGTACCCTTTCCCCTACCCAGGAACTAGCGTGCCTGTGAAAAATTAAAGCCAAAAAGAAGGGAAATAGGGAAGGGTGGGGAGGAAAAGTAAGAGGATGGGAGAGGGAGGGGGATATTGGGGGTAATTAGGTTTGGTCTGAGGAAGGAGACCAACAGGTCTAATTCCTCAGACCAAGAGCCTCACCACGCCGAGGAGCTCCCCTTGAAGAGGTCTGCTGACTAATAAAACGGGTTTTTTGCACTAGAAAATTTAAATTGAGAAGTGGCTTAATGGAAAACTATTGCAACTTAAAAACTGCTACCAGGCGACAGTCAGTGCCTATGTAAGCTAAAGCGAAGTCAACCACAAAGTGGATACTAAACATGCGATGGAAGAACGGAAGGTAGGTCATTTACAGCAAAGACAAAGGGTGATGTTAAAGACTAATGAGACTCTCTGCCTGGACAGGAAGAAATCCAAGGCACCAACACAGACACGCTAGTATTCCAGGTAAGAAAGTGGCAAGGTAGGTCGGTACATTATTGCAGAGGCCTAGGCAAAACTGTAGTACCGTGTTCAGAAACGTTTGTGAAAAATCTGCCTTATGCAACTTGAAGGGTCGTGTGCAAAGGGAGTGAAATGTTGGTCTTCTCTGGGTAGAGGGAGAATTAAACAAGTTTAAAAATCTGTCACTTGGGCAAGACTGAAGATGGTCAGTCCTGAGATGGGAGACCTTTAAAGTGTAGCATAGTGGGAGAAGCAGCAATCCAGGATAACAGCCTCCTCTACAGAGCCACCTTGCTGCATAAGAGGGCTGTTGGATACTCGACAAGGCATACCCTATCTGGCCACCACCTGGAATCCGACAGGCAGCCTCCAGATATACACCCCATCACCGAAAGGACACCAGAAGCCTCTCCCAGGGGGGATACCCCGAGCCTTAAGACTCTCCCAGAACACCGAGGAGGGTTTGGGACATACTCAGATGCCACAAACTAAACTACCAAGCACCTAAGTAGATTAGACAAAAATGCCTTTTTCCAACTAACTAGTATGCCCGAGGTAAGTACCCCAACACCTGATGGTTAGGACAGTGAACTGGGGCAGGGGTAATTAGGTTCAGTTTGAAAAACTGAAGGTTAATTCCATAGAGCAATAACTTTACCCGAAGGAGCCTCCCCACCCCTTAAATAGGAAGAGGTAGGTCCGAGAATGTACGGTTGGGGAGGGGGACGGGGGGGGGGTGAAGTTATAGAAGTAAATTAAGATGTAGAATAAAGCTATGTAGTGTCGGTTTATACTTTCAAGAGGGAAGGGGCACTGAGAAATTAAAATAGCAAGTGGAAAGGTGAATTAACGAGAGACTAAAAATGGAACCCGAGAACCTCTCCCCCCCCAGCCATTCAAAAAAAAAAAAAAAAAAAAATATATATGATACAGTCTACTGTAGAAGGGGCACATGTGTGCACTACAAAAGTCCAGAGCCATCCAGCGACCCTGGAATGATTGGATACAAGAGTGCCATGGCATAAATGCGAAGACAGCTAATTTGCCTCTTACAAAACCAGGGGGGAAAATAGGCTGGGTGCTCCTCTTGGCAGAGGACAGGAAAGGGTGGCTGCAGGATGGACTAATGGTCAGCACATGTTTTGCTGTGTAGGCGAAGCACCAGCATATTCCATGTTGCAGGGTAGGGATCACCTTCCACACTTAAGCACTGTTCTGCTAAGTAAACAGAGGGAAGGCTCCATTTCACGGCCTTGTTGTATTGAAGGATAACGCCTCTGCTCGTGGGCAGGGAGTATGCAAGTGCCAACTTGCACGAGTGGCTCTTGCAAGTGGATCTGGAACTAATGCTAATCTGAATTTAAATGCGCCTCTGGTATTTTGAACCGAAAACTTGTGTGCCATCAAGTTAAAGACGTTTTGCCCAACACTGCAAATAGTGTCTCGATAATGCTGTGGTCAGAAAGAAGTTTTAAATTTAATGAAGCTTTCAAAGATTCTCTTCGAAATGGAGTAAAGGGGGAGGAAATAATTTCCTAAGGTTCAGAGGCACTAGAGGAAAGTCAGACTAAAGGATTGTTGGAAAAATCTTACAATTGGGCCTGCCAGTCTAGTCAAGAAAAAATTTGGTGATAATCCAGGATCGTAGTCAAACACATGGAAGTCAGAAGTGTATCAATGTGATACCCCGAGGGTAAAAATTAGAGGTGGGGAGAAGAGAGAAAAAAAAAAAAAAAAGCCATGCCTAGGGTGCTGCACTAATGGTCTGGTAGAGTGCAGGTCATTTTTTTTTTACTTAAGAATACGGGAAGAATTTTAGGTATTGCATACATGAACGAAGTGTACTTTCTATCCCATACACGCCCAAGAAGGCCCTGAATGCAGATGCAATATAAACCATCATACTCGAGCCATCATGCTAGTAAACTGGCAATCTTTTATAGCAACCTTACATCCACCAAGCCAGCCTCTGGAGGGGGGGGGGGGGAGGGAGGGGGGGGGGAGGGAGGGGGGGAGAGAGAGGAGAAAAAAAACACCCAGTTAGTTTTGATAAAGCTTCCATATCTACCACCTTCCGAAACAGCCAGGTTACCTCCAGAGCTACATCAGTCACCTGAAGGACACCCTCGGACCCTTCCCCCCCCCCCTTCTGGAATATCAGGATTTCACCAAATTATGTAATGCCACTTAAACCCCTCTGCAGAATGGGATAATTCTATACTTTAACCTCCCCCCCTCCCACTCGAATTTGACATCCTCCAAGGCCAAAAATAGGAAGATTCAGGGAATGGGGCAGAGAATAGTAGGTTAGGGGGGCTCATTAGGATCTGTTTTAGAATGCTAAGATGAATGTAAGATTTGTTACCATGACAATTTTAGTTTCGAAGTGACCCTGGGCTAAAAAAAATTTCGAACTACCTCTTGGGTTATGTGGTAAACAAGGCAAGGGACAAACCAAGTATGCAGGATAGTCACGATAATCCCTAGCCAGGACTTCGTAAATAAAGTAATCCATGTTAGAAAGTGAAGATTTGTTTAAGCAACAGGGAAAATGTTCGGGAGGGCAATGTGTGGTAATAAAGTTAAAAGTTTAGTAATTTTAAGTGTTTGGTAGTCAAAGAACCTCATGGAATTAAGACAATGGAAGGGTTCTAGGCCATTGAGAAGTCTTTAAAGTTAAATGCTTGAGGGTAATAATGAAACCCGTGATTAAACAAGAAAGCTTTATTTCAGTCTTGATAAAGCAAAAAAATATGACAGCAAGCCGAAGTAAAAGGTTATTTTATACACCATAGAATTGTGCTGCCTCGCATATAACGTGTCTTTGATTGTTGCAGTTTGAGTCGTGCCATGTAACACCGTCGTTGTAGTGGTTATTAAGCAAAGCCAGGCACTGCTCGTTACCTTCGTCGTTATCGGGTTGAGGGAGGCCTCGCCTATGGACAAAATTGTTAGGCGTGAGGAGAGAAGAGAGAGAGAAAAAAAAAGAGAGAAGAAAAAAAAAAAAAAAAAAAAAAATTGCATGTACTCTACCCCCCTACCTTCATAGAGAAGTTTTACCTGCCAGTACGAGACCAGTTTGTGTAAGCTGAAGATGCACCAGATAACCAAGTCCAAGAGGAAGAGCTTATGGTGTTACCGCTCGTCCATACGTCAGAGATGTAATCTGAAAATGTAATTTTAGATTTATATTAATGAAAAATAAAGCATAGTCCCTAGTTTAGGAAAGGACATTGGAAATGAAATTCAAGATAAAGAAAAAGATGTTTATTGAATAGTCCACTTCCCAGAATTAAGAACAAAAAGATTAAACTTACGTTGAATAATAATGGTAGAAATGAAATCTTGTTCTCGCCGACTTTCTAAACTGACAGGTTGAAAGCCATTACCAAGGCCTGCACAGTAATAAACAGCAGTTAACCAGGTGTAGGATAGGCCGCCATCGTGACACCATGAGAAGTGGTAAGCCTTTCCATCGTAAACCTCGTCAACCTGGAATTTACCAAGAGTAAGTTTAGAGGAAAAAAAAAAAGAAAAAAAAAATTAAAGGATAGTTCACAGAACTAATGAGAAGCCTTACCAACGGCTTGGCGAGGGGATCGCAGACATATGTAGGCTGACGCAAGTCGTGGAAGACTTGTGGTCTTGGTATGAAGCTCAGTCCAGAATGGTGGGTGGTTATTTGTTGTGTATTAGAAGGTTGAGAGTTAACCAGTGGTGCCGGAAACTGTATCGAGTTTGTAATCTGTTCCCGAGGTGCTGTGAACTGTTGGTTACTTAGACCTTGAGTCTCTCCAAACCGAGGAAACTGATTTGTTGCAGGTTCCAGAGGGGCTGCATGATGGGGCAGCTGGTTAGTTACCCGATGTGTAATAGGGCCAACAAACCTAGGTTGCTGGTTTGTTTGCTGATCTCTAAGGGATACGAACTGTATAGCAGAGTTTGCCGAAACTGTAGGTATTAGAGGCTGAGTTTGTGGAGGATCGGGAGAGACTACTAGAAGGCCGGGAGAGCGAGCCATGTTTGTATCATTGTTACCACCGTAGATGATTGGCATACCATCATTCCTAATGAAGTGCTCACAAGCAACGGTAGTGATGACGGCGGCCAGGAGCGCACAAATCATTTTGCTTATCTGAGAAGTTACGGTACACGTTATTTTGCTAGTTTTAAAAGTAATCGCCAACTATTAAAGTTTTATTAAAATTGAATAAGATCACTGATCTGTCCTCTAGGACTGGAAGTGTAACTAGTTAGCACACAACATACGCACAGCAGTATGAAGGTTCAAGTCTAGCGTTTATTAAACTGGTAGGATGTTATATTCCGTATTCGTGTAATGAAGTTAAACCAGAAAAGGCAGTCTGAAACTTACTAGATTTTAGCATCAGAGCCTAAGTAGGAGGAAAAAAAAAAAACTATTCAGTCATGTTTTCCCGTGTACAAAGTTAAAAGTAAACTGTTTATACAAGTTCAATAAAATTCATCCTTTTAAATTATTGGAAATTTAAGCTATTCAACTTTAAGGTTATATACATGGGGAATGCTAACCTGTAGGATTATAGTTTATGTGGGGGTGGGATTTAAGGTACTCAGGCTTTGGGAACCTGAGCACTATTCTAATTTCAGTTATGAAAGGAAAGAATCTAGGGTTTTAATTTTAGAAAATAAACCTTATCGGTAGGGCAAATCTCTGCAAAGAAGCAGCGAGTTAAATGTTCCTGTTTAGTCCCCTTGATGGAGGTTCTTGACGCTGGTGAGGGGGTTTATGATACGGGGTTTTATCCGTTTAGTCTCCCGAATTGGGCTTTCGTACATTTTATACATGCATTTCTACTCCCTCACGTGCGTTTTAGAATGCTATGGGTCAAGTAGCCCATAGTGATATTGCCAATTAGTTGACAATGTTTCTTTAATACAATGGTTGGTGTTCAGTTTCCGGTATGGGTTGAAGTGTTGGGCAAGTCGTTATACACGCGGTTTAGTCTGAAGGTACGTGGTTGACCTAAGGTAAGAGGAACAGTATGGTTCCTCCGAGTAGTGTAGGCGAAACTCATTGTTTAGTTTTGGTTGAGATTAAAGCGAATCTTTAACGAGAAATAAACTTAGTAGTGGCATGTTAGCGTTACTTGTGCTATAATTTAAAGCCCTCTTCTGCAAGTGAAGAATTAGTTGTAAAAGAAATGTATTCGTTTAAGAAGTGGAACCTGGAGCACTAGTGTAGCTCGTGATTTGAACATTTTATGTTACAGAGACTAGTTGGGTTTTGATTGGACAGTTCTGAAAAGTTAAAGAATTAATATATGTTTTAAGTATTAAGAATTTATGTTAATGCTCTAGTACAAGGATGTAGTCTCGAGACCATAGAAGTATTTAAATTCTTTATTAGTTTAGAATGAATAGGAACTTCGTCAAACTCACGACAAATAGAGGTTAAAGTAACTTCAGAAGTATCTACTTTTAATGATACAGCACTTATCTATAGCTTTTGATAGCGAGGATCTTAACAGTTTTAAAAAACGGGAAGTCTAACATTCTATGTACAAACCTATGCCCCAAGGGGGTTAAAATTCAAGCAAGATTTAAAGATTAATTGTAATTGAAGTTATATCATATATACACTGAACTAGATAAATTAAATGCTGAAGAAATAAATTATTAGAAAAGATATTATATCTCTCGACAGATAATTATACCCAAAAAAAAAAAAAAAAAAATTTACCTTTCCACTCGACAATGTAATTATCAACACCGAGAAGGAAGTGATTGAAAAACAACCTTCCCTCACTTTTAAGAGGACAAAGAGCTTCCCGATTGGCTGACATCTGTAAGACAATGATTTCATGATTGTAATTGGCTAACACAGATACTGCGACCAAAAGCTTTAAAGTGCCTGTTGGTTTCCCCCGAAGCATTTGACATTTGAGATTTTTTTTTATATTTTATTGAGATATCTTGTACAAATAATTTTTTTTTTTTTATTTTATTTAAAACTTCGTACAAATTAATAGGTACATATATAAAAAAAATGAAAAGGACAACATCAGTAAAACAATTTTAAAACAAAAACAATCCAGCAACTCTGACAGTCTACTATATACAAGTCATTCGTCTCTCGCCTCGGGGAGAGAGGACGCAGCCTAGTAGTACACTGCCGTCTGGTTGGTGACCTATGCAAACTAGAAGACAAAATGGCGTACCGAGGGACAACGGAAACATGTTTGTATACGCTGGTACGTGGCACGCTACTGGAGCAACGATTGGCAATACATTGCTACCTGCTATCAAACAGGGACGCCTATGGTGTCCCCAACGAGGAAGTATATGGGTTGCTTAAATGGATGACGATATTCCTAAAATGAATGTACCGGCGTCTACGACAGATTTGAAGAGTACCAGGAGAGGAGGTGACGTGAATCGCATGGACGTTGTTATGCATGACGATCCAGAATATACGTGGTGAAGGTGAAATGCCCTTTTGAGGCACGGCGTATAGTATAAGGAGGTATTAACAACTACGGTAAAGTTCAATCGGCAACGATGGGAGTATGGACAGAAGGGCATAAAAGGACGACCTGAGGCTCTTATACCCTCAAAATGACGTTGGCTGGGGCCTAACCGTCCTACTCATGTTTGGTGAATCCAGGACCGGGTCTTTGTCACTATCCCCTAAAGGGAAAGGGTTCCGGGATGTTGGTGGGGGGGCTTTTGATTTGGGGAATTTGGGATCGTGCTCCATTCCCAATTTAAAAAGCCTGAATGCCTTCCCCCTCCCCCCCAGGGGGTTTTGTAAAATCCCCCGGGGTTTACCCCTTCCCCCCCTTGATTATAATAAAAAATTTGAAACACTAGGGCCGGGCCAAGAAAAACCTGTCGACTATGTAGCCATAAACCAAAATGGCACACGGGTGCCTAGAAGGCAGCCAACCGGGGGCTCCGGGTACTTTTTGGCATGGAGAGAGCCCAAAGTGAGTTGATCCCTGATTTGGGGAAAAGGGGGGAAGCAGTAAACGAGGGGGTAGAGGGAGTGAAGGGTTAAAAAACTGGAAGTATCGAGGGTGGGTACCTTTTTTACCCCCCGAGGTGACAGGGGAGGGGCCCCCAACCCTGAGGGACGGGGGGGGGAAAGAGCCCTACCCAGAATTTTTCGGGAAAGCGGGCTGCGGGATTTCCCTTCACGAGAAGGGGCCCGGGGGAGGATGGGTCCTGAAAGTCAAGTGAGATACAGCTGATGGTTAGCAGCAGGGACAGGTAAAGGGGTTTCGGGGAATTTGACAGAGAGGACAGGAAGTGGGGGTGGAAGTCCACCGGAGGACGTGCAGGGGTAGTTTTGGGGTTTTGGTGAGAGCCACAAAAAAAGGACTGGCGGTGCTTTTGACCTCGATGGGTTTTTTAAAAAACACCGGGGCAGAGCCCCCGGAAGAAGTCTTTGGGGAGTTGTAGGGGAAAAGGAAAAGGCAGGGGGGGGGTGTACGGGGGAAGATCAGGGGGGGGGGCAAGGGGGCTGGAGGACGGGTTTTAAAAAAAAGGGAAAAAAAAGGTACAGGTACTGAGAAAGGTGGAGTAAGATACAGCGGCATGGGGGAAACCGCCCCCTTTTTCGGAAAAATTCAAGTGTTTCAATAAATGTAAAGGGGTTTTAAAATCTGAGGAAAAAATTTTTGGGTTTTAGAGGGGTTTTTTTTACAAAGGGTTTGATTGGATGAAAATGTTTTTGCAGGAGCAAAAAACCATGGGTTTAGGGTGGGTAAAAATTGAATTTGGGGGGTTTAAAAAAATTTTTTCGAAAATTTGCTTTGCCAATTAAAAGGGGGGGTAGCAGTACGGAAAGGAGACCACCCATTCGTGTCAGGGGTTTGGGAGGGGGGGGGAAAGGGTTTTGTAAGGGAAGAGGGGCCCACTGGGGGTGGGAAGTTTTTAAATTGGGTATAAAATTCCCCCCCCAATGTAAAAATTTTAAACAAAGTTTGATTTTGTACGTAAATTTTTTTTGATGTTTTTTGGGGGGTTTACCTTCAAAAAAAACTGTACTTGGAGGGACTAAACTGGTGATTAGGTAGGTGATTTTCGCCGGGGGGGCGGGATTTTTTGGGGTGGCACTAGGGGATGTTTTAAAGGGGATGTAGGAGTTTTTTAAAATTGTGGGGGTGGGGGGCAGTATGGGGGGGGGAGCACACTTCATTTCGGGGGAAAATTATGGGGGGGGTTTAGATGGGAAAAATATGTGATCCAGGGATTGTGTGGAGAGAGTTAGTTATTTAAATATGTTTTTTTCCCCACCCCAAACCCACCTGTGGGGGGGTAGTCCAAAAAAATTACAGAGGTACATAATGGGTCCAGGACTGGGCCTCAAAGTTTTGATAGCTGACAAGCTACAGAGGGAATGAACTCAAAATTTAAAAGGTAATGAAAATCACAATTTACAAAGGTAATGAACTCCCGGTAGGGCTAAATCACAAAACAATTTCAAGTTTCAAAGGAAATTTTCAGATTACAGAGGTACACAATGGGTCCAGGGCCGGGCTCCAAAGTTTTGATGGGTGAAAAATACAAGGGAAAAGAACTCACAAGTTTTCAAAGGGAAGAACCCCACAAGTTTCAAAGGTAAGGAAAACTGTAAGAATGGTTATTACGTTTAACATGGCTTTTCAACATGAACAAATTTTAGAGTAATGAGGCAATTCACACTTTCCCCCACCCCGGGCACAACTGTATTTAGTTTAATTTTTTTTTTTTTTTATTTAAAACCAACAATATTTCAATAAACAAAAGGAAAAAAACCCTAAAGAAAAACAATAAAATTAAAATAACTGAAAAAACATTTCATTAGATATTTAAACATTAACGAATTTAACATAAAAAATATAAAAAATATGACCACCATTACCTACCTATAAAATCAAAAAACCCAAGCTTTAAAAATTTTCCTTTTAAATAGCTACAGTGGATAAATTAAATTTCGTAAAAAAAATGCAAACCTATATTAACTCTTTCCCCAAATTAATCATCCTTGCTCTTAATTTTAAAATAGAATAATAAAAATAAAATATAATAAAAACGCAGTTTTTAATCAAAAAACATTCCAAAAATTTTCAAAAATTTATCCAACCTAAAACCTAGTATTTTTATCCCGTATTATAAAAAGTCTAATCAAACTCAAAATTTTACCACTTTCCCCCAAACCCTATTTGTTGGGTACTTTATACAAAAACCCTTTTAATTTCATAAGGAAAAAAAAAAAGAACAATAAAAAAGGAAAACCCAATTTTTCCCTTCAAAATCAAACTTCAATTTTCCATTAGGTACATACAAAAATAAGTAAAAATATGTTTCTAATGGAACACAATCACTTAAAAACGTATTATAATATGACGCAACTCAACCACAATAATTCACCCATTCTTACAATTTTCAAGGTTCGAAAACCTTAACTCATAAAAGTATTGCCACCATCTAACAAATTAAAAAAAAAAACAATCCAAATATATCAAAACACCTATCTTCTTTTGGCCCCAAAATAATTGGTTTCCAAAAATACATTGAAAATTAAACGAAACATAAAACCTTTTTGCTTTAACTTTGTATCAAAAACAAAAATCGCTAAAAAAAATGATTGAATATCATTAAAATTTCATGAAAAAACCAAAAAGGGAATACAAAAAAGTAAAAAACATACATATACATATATATATAACATACCCTACATACATCATACACATACAAACATACAAACCATACACGCACATAAAACACACATATATATATACACATACAAGTTATAATCGAAAATTTCCCAAAATAATGAATTGTATTTAAAACACGGAAAAAATAATTTTAAAATTGCACCCCAGACATACCTCATAAACATTCTAAAAACCTCATGCAAACCCCCCATTCTGGGAAACCAGCCCTTTTCTCCCCCTTACCTCCTTTCAACTCCCGAAATCCCGAAAAGTAAAATTTCCCTAAACCCTCACTTAAATCCCCCCCCATCTCCCCCCATACACCTCCTTATTTCTACACTTTGTCCTATAAAAATTGCTGTTAATGCATTAATTTTTTCACACACGTTCGCTCCTCTCATACCCAAGACAATAAAATAATCCAAATTAAAAAAAACCCTACCGCATTCTCACCATCGATTCACCCCCTATGCTAAGCTTAAAACCCTCAAACCGGCAAACCCCCCCTCCCAAAAACCTTATTCCTTCCCCAACCAAAACCCCTTATTTTTTTTTTCAAACATTCCAAAAAACACTATATGGAAAAACAGCTCCCATCCACCACAAGCCTTGCATACCCCATCCCCCTATTCTCTTATGGAATAAAACCTTCCAGACGTAAGACCCATGTAAAAACTTACTTTTACTTCCGTACTTTGGGTTTTAAACGAATTTGTTCAAACCCCCCCCAGATATTACACCAATCATACCGATAACACCTTCTACCAGCTACCACGCCTTACCTCCACCCCATCAAGGTTTCCCAATTTTAATATGTGAAGGATCGCTCATTTTTATGATGACCCGTACATTGCCTCACCTATTATGAACCCCTCCCCACCCCCCAAACCGTTGCATATCCTACGTATCTTATGAATCCGCCCCCCCTCGCCCCCCCCCCCGCTTATAACTACGTTAAAAATACACACTCATAATCCTTTTTTCAACAGATAAGACCCAGCCCCCACCCCAAACCGGGATGGAAAACCGCTCTACCTAACCTTCGCTTCCAGTCCCCCAAATGATCAAAAACGCGCTTTTAAAAACCTTTTGTATCTCACACGAAGTATGGGAAAATTTTGCGCTACATCCCCAAAGTTTAC